GAACCGGGGATTGAACTCAGGCCCTTGTGCTTGCCTGGGAAGCACTTATTCCACTGAGCCATCTCCCCGGCCCTATTTTTTCAGGTTTTACAGATGTAAAAGATGCCCTTTTTTATTGTTCTAAGATGAACCAAGATGTATTATCTGCACAGTAGGTACTAATGTTCAAGAATATTTTCTTCTACTTTTAAATGGCCAGATTTTCAGTCTAATGGTTACTTATCCAACAAGTTGTGCTTTGTTGTATGCTCCATCCAAATTGAGGAAGAGAGATTGTGAAATAAAAATCCCCTGTTAAGGGCTGGGGAGATAGCTCAGTAGAATAAGTGCTTGCCACAAGGGCCTGAGTTCAATCCCCAGTTCCACCAAAAAAATAAAAATTAAAAAATTAAAAAAAATAAGAATCTGTTACCACTTGTTGGCAGCTGAGAAAAAGCAAGTTTAAAAATCACTGTGCAAGCTGGGTGTGGTGGTGCACGTGGAGGCTGAGGCAGGAGGACCACTGTAAGTTCAGGCCAGCCTGGGCACCAAAGTGAGCTTCAGGCCAGCTGTCACTGCAGAGCAGAGATACCCTGTCTCAAAAAGACAAAAAAACAAAAAAATTTAATGTCTAAAATGGAGAATAAAGCTGGGCATGGTGGTACATGACTGTAATCCTGGCGTTAGGGAGGCTGAGACAGGAGGATCCCTGCAAGTTCAAGGCCAGCCTGAACTACAAAGCGACACTGTTTTGCCTCAAAAACAAAATGGAGAATATGGCTCAGGGTGAAGTTGGGTGACTGCCACTGAAATTCAGCACAGCAGCTGCTTTTGTGGGCTTCAGTTGTTGGCAGGACACAAAGAGTCCAAGTGTGGTAGCTGGCAGAGTAATTTTTTTTTTCTTGCCAGAGTTCTAAAAAAAATGTTTTTTTTTTTCTTTTTTTGAAGGGAAGAATGCTTCTTTTTTTTAATATTTCTTTTAATAATGCATAAGACTATACATTTTGTGCCTAACCTTTAGTATGTATTTTACTTTATAATTTTTAAAAGGTTAAAATTATAAATAAACAGAGCCCTTGGGGTTACCACTAAAAAGTATGGATGTAAATATTTCTGTAAATAGCAACTGATGATTCCTAAGAAATATTTCTTAACAAGTTACAAATATTTAAAAAAATAGTAAGTTCATAGGTATGCATAGAAAAAGTCAAAGAATTAAATATACATTGCTAGCACAAAATTTGTTACCTATTACATAATATAATTTGGTTCAATGATCTTTTGTTGACTTTGAAACTGTCCTGTCCTAGTCCCATACGAGATTATTCATGTTATTCTGTTAGAGAATAGAACAAGAGCATTGGACCACGTTCCATATTTCCTTGCCTAACCATTATGGTAGCTGGTAATACGTAGCATTCCACCTAATGTCATCCAATTTGCAAACAGAAATTCTCCACCTTCACACTCAGCCTGGGTTTCTTCCATACAATGATGACTGATGGATTCTGTTGCTAAATGTCTAAGAAACTCAAACACATAAAACATTTAAACCATCAAAACGAAAGCAATTTCGAATGCAGTATAACAGCAAGCATGGACAAACAGATAGCTGGATTGTACGTTTCCCCCCATCAAAAATCGACAATTTTCCTCCAGTTGTTCAAGCAGCATCTGACATGGTACAAGTGAGTGTTCGCTCCCCTTCCTATTTGTAAAATTATGTGGTGTCCGAGTGATTCACATATTCAAGAAGCGACTGGTCTAAGGCTCTTCGGATAAGAGCTTCCTCAATTATATTAAAGTCCTACAATAAAGAAAAATAATTAGAAATGTACAGAATCAATTGTGTTTCAGAAATTGGCAGATGAGGGTCAGTGCAATGCCCCTATTTTTCAGGAAACTAAAGCCCTGAGTTAAATGACTTGTCAGATTCCAGAAAGCCTGTCAGAGAACCTAGAACTTGCTTGGAGGCAAGTACATATTCTATTTCATTTTACACTGTACATATGAACTAGCTAAATCATAATAAAATAGTCTTGCTTTAAAGTGTATGTCTAGGGCCGGGGAGATGGCTCAGTAGAATAAGTGCTTCCCTGACAAGCGCAAGGGCCTGAGTTCAATCCCTGGTTCTGGAAAACAAACAAAAAAACTAAAGTTTCTGTCTGACTTCATTAGCAGTTTTCATTCAGTACTCCAAGTCTTGGCCAGAGTGCTACATTTCACATGAACACACACCACGGGTAATGTCAACACCTTCTCTAGTGGTCTGGAGTGGTAAACTCAGTAGTAGAGCACATGCGAGAACCTGGGTTCACTGTGACTTGGACATTCAGCGTAGGGTGTGAAACTCTGATAAGGGTCCTTCCTTTTTGGGTTCTCACTACACAGACTGCACTCGTAGTGATCCTCCTGTTTTCAGCCTCCCAAACTCTGGGATTGCAGACGTGCATCACCACGCCCAGTCTCTATCCCCATCTCAGCACACTGCAGGGGTGGGGCCAACATGGCATGTGCAGCCAGGGATCAAACCTCAGTCCCTGCGTCTGCTAAGCAGGCGCTTTAATCTGCTGAACTGGGGCTGGGGAGAGGGCCCAGTAGAATAAGCGCTTCCCTGGCAAGCGCAAGGGTCTGAGTTCAATCCCTGGTTCTGCTAAACAAGAAAAAAAAAAATCCGCTGAGCTATCTGGCCGGCCCTGAGGTTCACTCTTCTATTCTGATAGTGTATGAAAGCAACTGGCTACAGAGATCTTTTTTTTTTTTTTTTTTTTTTTTTTTTTTGTCTTTTTGAGACAGGGTCTCACTCTGCTGTCCAGGCTGGCCCTGAGCTCACTTTGAGGCCAGGCTGGTCTTGAACTCGCCACAATCTTCCAATCCTCCTGGCTCCTGAGTGCTAGGATTACAGGTGTGTGCCACCACCCCCTGCCAAATGCAGACATCTGTGCCAGTTCACTACTCATATGATTTCACCTCTGTTAGACATGCTCGCATTGTCATTATAATTGTAAATAAAAAGGAAGGAACTAAAATAAAAATTTAAACAGTTGAAACGCTAAGTCTGGCTGCTCATGCATTAGCTGGTTATCTACCTCCAAAGAATACAACTTCATCATCAGGAGCATAAAATTGCTGCAGCACCAACAGTCAAATGTATAAGAAGTTATAGTTTTACAATTTCCTACTTAATGCTGATATTTAGCGTTTTAACTATATACACATTTTTCCCTTATAATTTTATCCACTTGGATTAAGCAAGTAAGCTTAACCCAGCGGCACAACAACAATGTAAAAGTAAAACAATATACTTACTATGAAATCATCATAAAACAAAGTATGGTTAACTTGCAGATGTCTTATTAAACTGCCATTGAAGCTGCCTGGATTCTCATTTGGTAGAAAACGGCAAAGTGGACAGAACTGTAAAGAAACAAGAGCAAAAGTTCAAGAATCAAAATAATTATCAGTGCCAGAACTGTTAAGAAAGTGATCGTTCAAAGTGAATTTTAGCTGGATATAGTGGTTCCCGTCTATAATACCAGCTCCTTGGAAATCTGAGGTCAGCCTGGACAACTCAGCAGCAGCCTGTCTCAGAATTAAATAATCAATGAACTCATTTAAAGACAGGGTCTCCCTATATAGTGCAGGCTGGCCTTGAACTCACCGTGATCGTCCTGCCTCAGCCTCTCAAGTGCTGGGATTACAGGTGTGCAACACTATGCCTCACTTTCTTTGAAGTTTTATACAGAGCCACAGATTCTCAAGGTGGGGTCTTCAAAGCCACAGCGTCAGCTCCACTTGACAACTTGTTAGAAAGGCCTGCTTTGGGGCTGACAGTATAGCTGTCTGGAAGACCTTTGAGAGGCCCAGGTTGGGAGGAGGAAGCAAATAAGCTGGTCCCAGGCCAGACCTCTGAGATCACATTCTAGGGGTAGGGTCCAGCCTCCTGTGACTAAGCAAGCCCTCTAGGTGACTCTGATGAACCACTAAACTGTAATTGCTTTTGGGGGGAAAACATGAAATAGAATGAAAAATGAGGGGAAAACTACATCTAGTAGCTAGGTTGTGGTAAAGAACAGCTCTCTTACATCCAGTACCTACAGAAAAAGTCTTCTGGGGTTTTTATTTTACTGGGAATTTATATCAGACCAGAGGTAGGTCAACCACTGAAAAGCTAATAAAATGCTTAGAAATCAACAGTACTGACAGCATGCAAAGAGCTAGCACTTGCTGTTTCTTCCTTATAGACCATTCTTGAAGCTTTGGGCTGTATTTTAACTGTTAAATAAAAGAAGCACCAATAAAAGGCCAGAGATACAAAAGGGAAATTGTGGGTCGTTACAAGCATTGCCACAAACGAGGTGTCCCCTCCAGCATGGGTCACCACTGGAAGGTATCAAGGGCAGCAGAAGGCTCTAGGCCAGCTCTGACTGACAGGACAGCAGAGGGGAAGGCGTGGCTGTGGGTGCCCCCTCGACCCCTGTCCACAGTGTGTTGCCTTCCTACTGCACAGGGAGCCATGTGTCACCACCTGCCCTGTCTCCACCTGCCCCAGTCACTTATCTGGTGAACTGTCCCTTGCCACACATTGGAATGCACTATTTCCTTGCACTTGAGAGTTTGGGTTTTGGGGTTTTTTGTTGTTGTTGTTGTTGTTGTTTGTTTTTTTCTTGTTGTTGAATTGGTTGGCTTTTCAGAGCAGGAATTCTGGAAATGGGAAGTACACAAAAGTAATGCCCCATCAGGTGGCTCTGTGCCCTGGGGAACAGCAGGCCAGGTGGAGGCAGCTGCAGGTATCCACAGTGCAAGGCCCGAGAGGGAAGGCAGGATGGTGTCACCCACTAGGGACCACGGTGACCATGTGGACGAGAGCAGGTCACCTCCAAGAATGAAGTCTATACACCACAGTGTCTGCTGGGCCATGGTCACGTAGGTTTTGTGTGTGTGTGCGGAACCGGGGATTGAACTCAGGCCCTTGCACTTGCCAGGCCAGCACTTATTCTACTGAGCTATCTCCCTGGCCCTGTCATGTAGGGTTTTTTATGAAATTTTTTTTTCATTATTTAAAGAACAATTTGCTAAAGATGTAAAGCCACTCTTCTGTGCACAGAGTGATGAAATACTAAAGTGGGACACTGGTGAACCACAGTTTATTCATACTGGCATTGTAACTGCAGCACTCATGAAAACCAAAACCTTGTCCTACCAATTTAGTTTGAAACTATCTCATTGCTATTTGTTTCTCAATAAAATTATGGGAAAAAAAAAAAAACAACAACAACCCTGCTGTGGCCAAGGGAACACGTAGACTTGTCCTGTTGTAAGAAGAAGCTCAGCCCAAGTCTTGCCTAAAACCACGATGTAGGCACCCCTGTGGGCCCGGCCCGGCCCAAACATTACTGCCCCACCGCCTCCTGCAGAGCAGGTTTTCCGTAAGTGGCCTTCCAGGAAATACAACAGGTCCTGTCCAACTACTGCTGAGAGGGCCCGGGATAGAGACGAGTTGCATATTAGGTGATTCGGGCAGACATGTGCAGGTGGCAGGGGGAGCTATTTTTGTGTCCTTAAATCATTTTGTGAACGTACCCCTCAGAAGAAGCTACTGGAATTGTACGCACAAAGGGTACTTGGGGGTTCCCCTCATGGGGAGCTTGTCGGGACCCCCTTCTGTCTGCTCCGACCTTAGGGAAACACGGTGGCCTGCACAGCATAGTAAGAATACCACAGTCTGCCCAGCTCTGGTCCAAAGTGACAGAAAACTATCAAATAAAATTTTATTTTCTGGGGCTGGGGAGATGGCTCAGTGGAATAAGTGCTTCCCTGGCAAGCACAAGGTCCTGAGTTTGATCCCTGGTACCACCAAAAATAAAAAATAAAAAAAATTTAAAAATACTGCAGAGGGCTGGTGAGATGGCTCAGTGGTCTAAAGCACCTACTTAGAACAAACTAAGCCAAGCAAAGCACAGGGACCGC